CCTTCTGCAGGGGGGTAGGTTATATCGCGGATGCATCTGCTGAGTCGGTGAGGTTGGGGGCGAGGTCTGCGGCTCTCACCAATTCGGCTAGGAGGGCACTATGGTTAAAAACGTGGCAAGGGGACATCACTTCCAAGGTCAGACTGTGCGGTATCCCTCTCACAGGAGATTGTCTCTTCGGCCCAGGGTTAGAGGAATCACTGGACCGAATGGCAGACAAGAAGAATTCTTTTTTTTTTTTCCCCTCAAAAGGAAGTTACCGGAGGGAGGGACACATAGGGCCCGTCCATTAAGGAGACTGAGCCTGAGACCGGTGGGCCAGGGTAGGCCTACTGGGACATAGAGGTCGGGGCAGGGGAGGAGCGATTTTTTTTTTTTTTTTTCGCCCTCCTGAGCGGCCCCCGGAAGACACACTGACTCGGTGCCTCCTGTGGGAGGAAGAATGGCGGCCTTCCTCCCGCAGTGGGAAGCACTGGTCACCAGCCCCTTCATTTTAGATATTGTCAGAAGGGGTTATCGGGTGGAGTTCGTAAGGACAACCGTCGAAAGATATATGGTGACGTCGCGTCCGAGAAACCCGGCAATGGCCGCTGCCCTGATCATTGCTTTAGAGGATCTAGAGGACCGAAGGGTTGTAGTCAAGGTCCCAGAAGGGGAACAAAGGAAGGGGTGTACTCCCATGTATTTCTGGTTCAAAAGCCGTCAGGAGCTTTCCCGCTGATTTGTTTTTTGAACCTAAAAAAACCCCTCAACAGGTCTGTGCGTTACCGGAGGTTCTGCATAGAGTATTTACAGTCAGGTCCCTGATCCCGCCAGGGTCCTTTATGGCATCCATAGACCTGCAGGACGTATACCTGCACGTGCCGCGGAAACTTCTCAGCGGTTCCCCAGGTTGGCAGTAGAGGGAGGAGTGCGACACTATAGGCAGTTCAGGGCTCTTCCATTCGGCCTGTCCTCCTCCCCGCAAATTTTTTACCAAGGTTCTGATGGAGACACTAGTTTCCTATTCGTTTGATGGGAATTTCAGTGATAGCCTATCTGGACGACTTGCTGCTCTTCGCGCAGATTCAGAGGCTCACCTTCTGCGGAATCTGGTATAGTGGCGGGGCTATTAGAACACCTGGGGTGGATGGTGAATCTGAGAAGTCTTGTCTGTGTGCCTTCTCAGAGGATGGTTTATCTGGGTTACTCTCTGGACTCGGTGAGTCAGAGGGTCAGCCTGACCTTGGAGAAGGTGGCCAAGCTAGAAGCTGGGATCAGACTGGTGCAGGGGAACGGGCCAATAGCGATAAGGCAGGTCATGTCAGTGCTGGGTCTACTGACGGCTTCCATCCCGGCAGTGCAATGGGCGGGTCTGCATATGCGTCCTCTCCAGTTATGGATCCTGAGAGTTTGGGACGGTGTACTCCTCTCCTTGGAGGACTGAGTACTGGTTTCCCCCCCAGTGTAAAGAGGTTGCTGTGGTGTGGAGAAGGGCGTCCAGTAATAACCCAGGGGTTATTATGGTGCTTCCCAGTATCCAGGGAGGGTAACGACGGATGCCAGCTCCAGAGGATGGGGAGCCCCACCTGGGAGGATTGGTGGCTCAAGGGGAATGGTCCTGGGAACAGAGGACCATGTCCTTAAACTGGAGGGGGAGCTGAGGGCAGTGGCAGAGGCTCTTCAGGCCTTCCAGGAGAGGATCAGGGGCCACCATGTGCGAGTCCTGTCGGACAATGCCACGACAGTGGCGTACGTAAACATGGCAAGGGGGAACGAGGTAGCAGGACCCTTGGAGCCTTGGCAGCGACGCTCTTGTCCTGGGCAGGAGGTGACCTTGGCATCCCTGTCTGCGGTGCATTTAAGAGGAGAGCTAAACCGGAAAGCGGATTTTTTCTGAGCAGAACACGACTCAGGGAATCGGTATAAAGGGAATGGGCCCTGAACCCCCGAGGTGTTTCAGGAAATTGTGCTGAGGTGGGGGGTCCCCGGACGTGGACCTTTTTGCCTCAGGAGGGAATAACAAGGTCCCGGCCTTCTTTTTCCCTATCTCGTTGGAGACGGATTCAAGGGCGGTGGACGCGTCTGAGTCAAAGGTGGGACTACCGGCTTGTTTAATTACCGCCTTCCTCCCGGTCTTCAGACGATCTTTGCGGTGGACGCTTCAGACACTCGGCTGTGTTTAAGTTTTCCCTTGGAAATTCAGAACCTCATTGATTCTGATAGCTGCCCTTCTGGCCACGGAGTAAAAGGGGGGCGATGTATTTTTTCGCCACACTGAAGAGTTTAAACCTCCCCGTCCCGCCCGGGGGGGGAACTGCCTAACCCACCAAACCAAGGAGGATTTGTTATCGCAGGGACTGGTCCTTTGCCCCGACAACGTGAGGAAGTTGAGGTTAACCATTTTGGTAGGTTTTCTGGAGAATCAGCAAGCAGCTCCTCTTAGGGAAAGGGTTTTTCACCCAGGATTAGTGGCCCACAATTACTGGCCAGTAGGAAAGAGGAGACGCAGGCCATTTACGGTAGGGTCTGGGGTCGCTTTAAAAAAACTGCTTGGTGTGATCAGATGTCGCTGACAACCCACAGCTTAGTGTCTGTTGCTTTGGGAATTTCTGCAGGCGGGGGCTGACAAGGGGTTATCGGTTAGCAACGCCTCAAGAGGGACAGATCTCTGCATCTCAGCGTGTTCCTGGAGAACAGTCACCCTGGCCAGGGAGGCACTGGTGGCTAGATTTTTCAGGGCACTAGTTAGACAGAGGCCTCCAAGGTCAGTCCAATCCCGATGTGGGATTTAGCCAGGGTTCTGGTGCGATGACGAGGACGCCATTCGAGCCCCTGGAGTCCTGCTCAATTGACGAACTCACCATCAAGAACTGCCTTCTTGTAGCGGTCACCCACGGCAAGGAGGGTGTGTGAGTTGGATGCGTTGTTCCATTAGTAGGTCGCCCTATCTTCCGTGTTTTTTTTCCGGTACAGGGTAGTTTTTCTGCGAACAGATTCCCATCCTTCATCCCAAAAAGTGGCACCATAGATTCCAGAGGGAACGAGGACATAGTCCCTTCCCTCATTTTTTTTCTGACACCCCCGGTTGAGGGGGATGATCAGAAAAAGTTTTCATTTATTGGATGTCAGGAGGTGCGTAACTCCAGTATCTAGAAAGGACTAGGACAGTTTAGGAGTGCACCGAATCCTTTTTTTGTAAGGAAAAAGGCGTCCAGAGGGGGACGCCGGCAGGTTTATGGTGTTGAAGTTGTGCAATTTCTGGAGCATACCAGGCGGAAGGCCTGGAGGTTCCGGACGGTATCAGGGGCGCACTCCACACGAGCGGTGGAGTAGGATCTACTCTTCAGGCTGAGTTTGCAGGGGCGTCTCCGGGGCAGATTGGCAGAGCGGGCAACATGGTCCAGTTTATGAAACATTTTGCCAAACATTACAGGTTGGACCTGGTCTCGGTGCAGGAGCAGGCCTTTGGTTGTAAGGTCATTTTGCAAGCAGATTTAGCCTGCCCGACGGGGTGAGTATCCTCTTCGCTTATCCTCTCAAGGTGCTTTGGCCTGAATGATGTAAGGGGAAAAATCAAGTTACTTACGGTAACGTCTTTTCCGGGAGTCTTTCAGGCCAGCACCGGGTTTCCCACCTGAGTATTTGATATGAGGTTTAAGTGAGCATGATTTGCGGTGATTGTCTGCTTTGTCTCACGTTGTGGGGTGTCTCCCCCAGGTGACCGGAGGATGTTTGAGGTGAACTGAGGTCGGGAGGGGAGTGGAGGTCTTTTATTTTAGGGTGGAGGTTTTTTCCTCAGATGGGGAGGAGCCAGAAGGTCTCTCAAGGTGCTGGCCTGAAAAGACTCCCGGAAAAGACGTTACCGTAAGTAACTTGATTTTTTTTTTTTAAGGGAATCCTTTAAAATTCCTCCTCTCCCTTTCTGAAGGCCCTATGCTAATCACATGCACCCTCCCAATCAGCACTGCCCAAACAGAGGGGCAGGGGTCTCATTAGCTGAAGAATTCATCAAGCTTTAGTGTCTGATACAAGAACACTACAGATTGAGAAACCTTCAGTGCTTTAACAAATACGTAAGTGCGTGAGCTCAGCAGAATGATGCCAAGTCCGGGGAAGCATGTATGCAGGGTCCCTCTTATACTGCTGGGTCCGGGGAGAGCCAAAAGGTAATTTAGCAGTTTATCCGGGGATCTAATCAAAACACTTGGCATTTCCAGTGACCACTGATTTGATATACGAATGCGTTATCATAGTGGATATACGTGAAATGCGGATTAAAGATGAAGGACGATCTGGGGAACCGCATTGGGATCTCAGTCGGATAAATAGAATGAATGCGGGGGGGATCCGGGGAGAGCGGATATAGTGAATGCGGGGGGGTATCCGGGGATAGGTATAGCGGAATTAGTTTTTAGAATGAAGCAGCGGAAATAGTGGACACTGGGGGGGATCCGGGGAGTAGCGGAATATAGTGAATGCTCGGGGGGGATCGGGGTCGAGAGCGGGAGAGATATGCGTGGTGGGTCTTCGGGGGAATTTGTGAATGCGTTCGGGTAGTAGCGATATAGTGAATGCGATGTCCGGGGCGGGGTATTGAATCCTGTGGGGTAGAGATATAGTGAATGCGGGGGTCCTAAGCGATAATAGGAGAATGCGGGGTTCCGGTGAGAGCGGATATAGTGAACTGCGGGGAGATCTGTGTAAAATGCGGGGCGTTGAGACCGGATTATAGTGAATGCGGGGTCCGGGTAGAGACGGATAATAGTGAATGCTGAGGGGGGAACTCGGGGGAGAGCGGATATAGTGAATGCGACGGGGGGGATCCGGGTTGGAGAGCGGATATAGTGAATGCGGGGGGGATCCGGTGAAGAGCGGAAATAGTGAATGCTGGGGGGAGGGATCCGGGGAGAGCGGATATAGTGAAAGCGGGGGGGACCTTTCCGGGGAGAGCGGATATAGTGAATGCGGGGGGGTCCGGGGAGAGCGGATATAGTGAATGCGTCGGCGGGGGGTCCGGGGAGAGAGCGGATATAGTTGAATGCGGGGGTCCGGGGAGGAGCGGATATAGTGTGAATGCGGGGGGGGATCTGGGAGAGCGGATATAGTGTGAATGCGGTCCGGGGGTCCGTAATATGAGTGAATGCGGAGCGGGATATAGTGAATGCGGGGGGGTCCGGGGAGAGAGCGGATATATAGTGAATGCGGCGGGTCCGGGGAGAGCGGATATAGTGAATGCGGGATCTGGGGAGACCGGATATAGTGAATGCGGGGTATCCGGGGAGAGCGGATATAGTGAATGCGGGGGGGATTATCCGGGGAGAGCGGATATAGGTGAATGCGGGGGGGGATCCGGGGAGAGCGGATATAGTGAATTGCGGGGGGGGATCCCGGAAGAGCGGATATAGTTGAATGCGGGGGGGATCCGGGGAAGAGCGGATATAGTGAATGCGGGGGGGGGGTCCGGGGAGAGAGCGGATATAGTGAATGCGGGGGGGTCCCGGGCGGAGAGCGGATATAGTGAATGCGGGGGGGGTCGGGGAGAGCGGATATAGTGAATGCGGGGGGGGTCCAGGGAGAGCGGATATAGTGAATGCGGGGGGGTCCGGGAGAGCGGATATATAGTGAATGCGGGGGTCCGGGGAGAGTGGGAGAGCGGATATAGTGAATGCGGGATCTGGGGAGACCGGATATAGTGAATGCGGGGTCCGGGGAGAGCGGATATAATGAATGCGGGGGGGATCCGGGGAGAGCGGATATAGTGAATGCGGGGGGGGGGATCCGGGGAGAGCGAGGATATAGTGAAATGCGGGGGGGATCCGGGAAGAGCGGATAATAGTGAATGCGGGGGGGGGGGATCCGGGTGAGAGCGGATATAGTGAATGCGGGGGGGGTCCGGGAGAGCGGATATATAGTGAATGCGGGGGGGATCCGGGGAGAGCGGATATAGTGAATGCGGGGGGGATCCGGGAAGAGCGGATATAGTGAATGCGGGGGGGATCCGGGGAGAGCGGATATAGTGAATGCGGGGGGGTCCGGGGAGAGCGGATATAGTGAATGCGGGGGGGGTCCGGGGAGAGCGGATATAGTGAAATGCGGGGGGTCCGGGGAGAGCGGATATAAGTGAAATGCGGGGGGGGTTCGGGGAGAGCGGATATAGTGAATGCGGGGGGGTCCGGGGAGAGCGGGATATAGTGAATGCGGGGGGGGGGTCCGGGAGAGAGCGCATATAGTTGAATGCGGGGGGGTCCGGGGAGAGAGCAGATATAGTGAATGCCGGGTTGGGTTATAGTAACACTTTACTGCGAATTGTTAAACAGAGCCTATTGCAGGCTAGGTGGTGAGTGTGCTGGGAAATCTTCATTTGGTGATTTGCTTGCCCCTTACTCCAAAGGCCAGTTATAGGTTGGGGGGGTTGTCACTTTCAGGACAGAGTACACCCCCCCCCCTATAACTATAACTGTCACCCTCTGTCCAAGTATACCAAATCCACCACCACCCCTCTGTCCAAGTATACCAAATCCACCACCACCCCTCTGTCCAAGTATACCACTTCCACCGCCACTGCCTCTGTCCAAGTATACCACTTCCACCGCCACTCCTCTGTCCAAGTATACCACTTCCACCGCCACTCCTCTGTCCAAGGTTTTTGCTCACCTCCTCATAAAAAGAAATCAGATTTGTTTTGACAACTTCTGTCTTTCATGACTCCATGCTGTCTGTGGCTTACAATATTTGTTTCCAGCAAGAACTCCCCCATCTCTGTGGTCTTTTATATTAAAACTCCCAGTATCTTCCCAACTATAGAAGTTACACTAACAGGTCTATAATTACTTGGTAAAGATTTTGACCCCTTTTTAAATATTGGCCCCACATTGGCCTTACACCAATCCAGTGGTACTATACCAGTCATTAAAGAGTCCCTAAAAAATGAGAAACAATGGTTTTGAAATGACAGAGCTGAATCCTTTAAGGCCCCGTGGTGTATGCCATCCGGTCCCAGGGGCTTTATTCACCTTTATTCTGTCTAAATATTTATGGATCAAATCAGTTGTGAGCCAATGTGGATCATCTGGAGCTGTGTCAGTACCACCCCCCATTTATGACAAGAGCCCCTCCATGCTCCTTTGTATACACAGAGCAGAAGAAGGGATTTCATACATTGGACTTCTCTTTGTCCCCAGTCACCCCCTCTAGATGATTCTGTAAAGGGCCTACATGATCGGAACCGAATTTTTTTCTACTATTAACATATTTGAAGAATTTTTGGGGGGGTTTTAGTCCTGCTATCTTTTGCAATCTGTCGTTCATTTTTCAATTTTTTTGCGAACTTTATTTCCTTTTTGCATATTCTGTCATATTCTTTGTAATGTTTAAATGATGATAGCAATCAAGTCTACTCACATCAGGTCTTCTCCTGTACCGCTGATGGCCTTTTAGCTGGCCGCTTCTTTCTCTGCTGTACAGGTGATCCTCGCTCTGGGGACCATGAAACTTTGAGTCTCCTTTCCAGCTCCAGGCCTGCAGGTAGGCCTCATCCCACTGGGCCTCCTTGCAGCCTCCTGTCCTAAGCCTCACATCTCCCCCCACTGTCTTCTACCCCAACTGTCCCTCACCTGAGCAGGCTCCAACATTTTTAAGGGTGTCCCAGCCTCTTGCCAACCTTCTGTTTTGGGATTGGTTAGGATCCCTCAAGAGTGCAAGCCAGGCACTCCTCAGATCCACCCACTACCCCTAGGCCATCCTGAAAAGCTCTAGAGCAGGAGGAAATTCCAGAGGGTTGGCCTGCAGAGACTCTCAACTCCTGACCACAATTTGACCTTCTGGCTAGAAGAAGCTGGAGAAGCTGCTGGAATGCATGGTAGTGTGTTTTTGCCATGTTGTTGCTGCATTTTTGCCGTGTTTTGCATTTTTTATTCTGCCCAACAACAAAAAAAATTCCACTTTTAAAAAAAAAAAAAAGAGCTGAACAAAACACGGCAAAAATGCAGCAAAAAATGCGTGTAGGAAAAAACACAAAAGAAAATGCAAAAAAGCACTGGAGTAGAAAGCATCAAACGTAAAATACATACATGTGTGAACCAAGCCTTACTGGCCAGTACTTCGGGGGCCTAAATCTGGCACTGGAGAGCTCAGAAGTAAGGGTAGATCTAGACGTACATCTACATCTCCCTGGCCCCTGAAGCCTGTTCCTGTTCGGATCGCACTGACAGGCAACGAGGAAGGGATTTGACGCCTCCGTGCCACTTCTTTTAATCCAATTTTTTGCTAACAAATGCCTTGCAACTGCATGCAATGTGGGTCTTTGCAGTGCTTCCCCATTGACTTGAATGTGTAGCCCCTGACAATCGCTACAAGTTGGGTCAACTTTGCAGTGGGGGCAAAATGAAGCTCATGGCCGTTACATGTAAAACACCCCATCCGCTGCTAATTGTAGCTCAATAGGTGTGGGTGGTAGGTGGCAAAAATGTGGCTGCAACCACTAATGTTTACCACCCTCCAACCGTAAGTCTAAACAAGGCTTAGGTCCCTCTGAACTCGGGTCTAGGTGTCTGAATGGTGTCCCCAGTAAGCATATTCCTGTGGAGAGGTAAGTAGGTATGGGGGGCAGTTTCCTAGTGAAAGACGGGGGGGGAGGGGGGGGACCCTAGGGGGGGTGGGGAAGGGGGGAGTTGGGGATATAAGCTGTTCCTAAATAGTAGGTTGTAGTAGGTGTATGGCCAGCAGTGCCTCTATGGTGATGACCTGTCTGCTCCCACCCTATGTCCAGGGCTCAGCGATATCAGCTGTCTGATTTAACCCTGAAAGGGCTGAACCATCGCAGGTTGCAGGGTGGTTGTGGGGCGCTGTTCCCATTCACCTGAATGGCTCACGTTTGGCAATAGTATTACTACAAATGCAGGGGGGGCGGTAATTATTGCTGCATCATATGGCACCTGCATTATGTTTTCCTTTAGGTGGGCGGTCAGGAAAAGAAGGATGTAATTACCAGAGACGTCAGATTTTACCTCCAGGGATCCATAGGTTCCTCATACCATTCCACTGATTTTCTTGGCACAGACTTTGATTTGTATGACGTCATTTTCCAATGCCTAGTATCAGGTTTCTCCTGAGAATGGCCCATCACATGCAGGGTGTAGTCATTACTGGACACCCCCACCCTCTCTGTGGAATGGGTACAACCCACAGGTATATAAGCCCAGGTACTGGTGAGATGTATTAGTCTACTGAGAACTTTACAAAGATGGCTGAGGCCTGCACTGAGGGGACTGAGTAAGCCCAGGAAACCTACTGCAAAAGATCAGGCCATCCTTAATGAGGTAAGTGGTTGGGGATCCAATACTAAGGACTGGTTCATGCCAGGTGTGATGATCTGCATTGGGACCCTGAGAAGCCATTGACCTGTGTTGTGTTTATACCATACATGTGTGTTCACTAAACTGCATTACATGGGTTACCTTTAATTTTAATCTTTTTATTTTGTGTGGGGTGTTTTTTTTTTTTTGTTTTTTTGTGTGTGAATTAGTCCCCTTTTTGTCACCTATAGCTTGTATGGCAGAAGCTGCAATTCCCCTCCCTTCAGAACTTCAGAGGAGACAATTTACTTAGCATTCTTCCTACTACATCTGAGTATGGGGGGAAGATACTGCGCAGCTACTACTAAAATTCCACGACTTGTAATTTATGTGGAATTCTAGTAGTGAAACCTTCCATGTTGTCAGTGGGATTCCCACTGACAGCTGAATGTAAAACGAATTGCCCTTCAGGTCTGGTATGGATTTTTAGGGAACCCCATGCTAAATTTTTTTATTTCTTTATTTTTTGTAAATGGTGTGAGGGTCTGCCCCCAAATCTATGCCAGACCCTTATCTGAGCATGTAGTGTAGCCTGGCAGGCCAGGAAAGGGGGATGAGCTAGCTTTTCCTACCCCTGAACTGTGCCAGACCATATGATCTCCAACGGGGGGGTGCTTTTTGGGGCAAAAAGCACCTTGTCCCCTTGTTAGAGACAAGGGCCTCTTTCCCCACAACTGTCAGTGGGTGGGGGGGCTTATTGAAATCTGGAAGCCCTCCTTTAACGGGGGGGTCCAGATCCCACCTCCCTATGTGAATGAGTATGGGGTACATAGTACCTCTACTCATTCACAAGTTATTGTAAGTCAATAAACAACGTTTGACAAATCCTTTAAATTTAAAAGCCCCTGAAGTAGATCCAATGTTAATCACGATGCCTGCCAACCCCCTCACCAGGGGGGTGATGCCGTCATGCCCTGTGATTGGCCAAAGCATTGCACCTGACCTGTGGTCTTCTCAAACTGTTGCCAACAAGGTAGGACCTTCATGTCTCTAGCATGCTGAAACATTAACACTGGGAATGCCTGAACTCCATCGTTGGGAGCCTTGTTCATCCTATGAGCCCTACAGGTAGATGTGATGTCGGGTGTTAAACCTTTTGGTGTACGAAAGCATCCGTATATACGCCCTAATACACTCACCCCCAAACCTATACACTCAGACCTTGCTAGTATTGGGTTGGACACCTTTTCGCCTTCAGAACCTCCTTCATTCTTCATGTCCTAGCTTGAACAAGAAGTTGGAAACATTCCTCCATCTCAAAGGGGTGTCTGTGTCCCCAACTGACACCAACAACCATGCCATGTTCAAAAACTGGTTTGTACTGTACTCCTCCTTCTCACAATGAGTCTATGGGGCCTGGCCTTATACACCCTATCCA